TAGAGCAGGGTTTAGGGCTGTTGTACTTAGGGTTGCTATGAGTTGTAAGCGACTCGACGGCACATACAATAACAAGAAGTATGTTCTGCTCAAACATTTTTCCTCTTGCTATAACCATATTAGTAGTATTGTTATTTCTCTGATCAGAATATCTCAAGAAATAGAATCTTTTTAGGACAGGAATTGGAATTTATGCAACACAGTTTTGTTTGTTTTTTATTTACTAATTAATATGTTCTTTTCTTTGTTCTTATTCAAACCTAAGAAATTATCAGATACTTTGATTCCTGAAGAATTTCATATTGTGTCCAACACTGGAGTTTCAGGTTTGGAGTGTTATGATGAGTGAGTACTGCGATATGTACTGACTAACTGGCAAATGGAATCACTTACCCTTTTTCCCCAGATACAAGGAAAACTAAGAATAGTGACATACTTGTGTTTCTGCACACTATAAGAAAAATAAGAGAGCATTTGGATTAGGTATTCTAATACAATTTAAGAAAAATTCTACAAATTAATTAAAATATCTTAAAAGAGTTTGGAATTTTAGTGATTAGTTCCCCATATTCTCATGCTGTTGAATTTTTAATTTTTTAAAAAGAAAATTTTATTCTGATATTCAACTATATTTATTTTTAAAAAGTAAATATTTTTAGGGATGTAACAGACAAAAATTTATTCTCTTAAGAATCTTTGAAAAAAAAAAAAAGAATCTTTGGATGCTACAAGTCCAAACTCATGATGATGGCTGCTCTAGGAAAATGCTTTCTCTCTGTGTTTTATTTGAAGGAAAATTTGTTTATAAGTCATATTGGGATTCATTTAGTTATTTCTGTATGTAATATAATAATTAAAATTTCAGTTGATCATTTATATACATTTTTATGATAATTGTGACAGATTCATATCATTAAAGACAATGTCTGGTAAATATATTATTTGTCTCTCCTTTCACCCATATCTATTGCCTTCTCCTTCTTTTCCTAACCCTGATAATCATCTAAAATTAATTACATCTTTGTGTAAATCTTTCCTTATCATTTTATAATAGTTGTCTTATTCTATAATATAAAACAGACTTTGTTCTCTTTTGTGACTGGCTTATTTTGCTTAGCTTAATGCCCTCTAGACTTATCCATTCTATTCAGTGTTTATCTGTTATCCATTCTATGCACCTCTGTTTTGTGACATTGCTGATTTCCTTGTTCCACTTACCTTTTTGTTATGAGCTAATTTTATTTATGGCTTTTCTTACTGCTTCCTTCACTACTGTTGCTTTATTGTTTTCTGAATCTTTATGATTTCCCTATTTTTCATTTTGATGAGAAAAGTTACTAATCTTCTTGGAGGTTACCCTGTAAGTAAATATCTTATTCCCAAATCTAAAATAGATCACTTTATCTTGACATCTCTTGACTTCCTGAAGTTGTAACTGCACTTCTTAGTCCCTCTTTTTGCTTTGTAGTTGTCATAATTTAGGTACTGATACCTTTTATTTCCTATTGGTTATCTTGTATGTTTATTATACTGTGTATATTTCTGTGTCTATGTCAGTTTCTAAATAATGTTATGTATGTTAATTTTGGATTGTCGCCTGTTTTGTATCTTGGTCAGAAGAACTCTCCTTGGTATTTCTTATAAAGTTAGTCTCGTTTTCATAAATCCCTTTAGTTTCTGTTTATGTGAACGTATCCTAATTTTACCAGGTAAGTGGAGGGACAGTTTGGCTGGGTGTATCATTCTTGGTTGGTAGGTTTTTCTTCTGGGTTTTACATATGTCTGCCCATTGCCTTCTTGCCAGTTCATGGTTTCTCCTAAGAAATCATAGTTTAGTCTTATTTGTTTTTTGTAGTTAATTCTTGTTTTTAACTGAACTCCTTTCAGTATTCTTTCTTTGTCTTTACTTTTAGAAAATTGGATTAGGATGTGTCTTAATGTTATTTTTTTGGCATTTATCATATTTGAACTTTTCCATAGGGTTAAGAGCAAAGACATTTGTTTTAAAACTGAGGTATGTCCAATCCAAGACATGGTATTTTCATTTGCTTTCTATGCATCTGAAAGTTGGACAATGGGTAAGAAAGACCCAAGAAGAATTGATGCTTTTGAATTGTGGATCTGGCAAAGAGTATTGAATATACCATGAACTGCCAAAAGAACAAACAAATCTGTTTTGGAGGAAGTACAACTACGGTCCTCCTTAGAGGCAGGGATAATGGATCATTGTCTCACTTATTACATACATGTTTCAGGAGGCGCCAGTCCTTGGAAAAAGATACCATACTGGGAGGTGGAGAATCTGCAAAAGAGAGGAGGACCCTTAATGACTTAGTGACTTTAACAGTGGGCTCAAGCATGGCAGAGATAATGAGGATGGTACAGAATAGGCATGGTTTAGACCTGTTGTTCATAAGGTTGTTATGAGTTGTAATCAACTTGAGGGCACCAACAAAATCAGCTTCTTGAATTTGTTTTCTCATTTTCCATAATGTTGGGGAAATATTCTTCCAGCCAGTGTTAATAATTTCCCCTGTGCTTTTATTGGTTTCTTTTTCTGGAATTGTCAGTCACTCATAAGCTATTCCTTTTGATAGTGTTCCACTTAATTCTTATGCTTTGTTTCATTTTCTTCTTTTTTTGATTTTTCCTCTAACAAATTAGTATTGAGGAATTTTTCCTTCATCTAAGAAAATCTGAATTCTGTTTCTTCAGTTCTCATCTTTTGTCCTCCTAGTGTGCTATTTCTGAAATGTTAGTCTGAATATTCAGAATTTAAATTTTCCAGCTTTGGATTGCTACTTATTTCCTTTTTATTGTATCTATTTGATTTTGCATAGTCTTTTTAAAAAAACTCTGAAAAGTTTTCTGGTTTCTTTATGTTGGTCATTTTTTTGGGGGTGTGCCATCTTATCTTGATTATTTGAGTGTTTTGATGTTATCTGTTGTCTCTCAGACATTGTGGTGTTCTTGTCTGGAATAACTTTATTTTTATATGCCTGAGTAAACTTTGATACTGTGCTCTGCCACTTACTGATACCATTTTCACTTGTTTTCTGATGGGTCTGCTAAAGAATGGAGCTGTGTATGATATTCTCTGTTTGCAGTTTACATAGAGCAGTTGATTGCAAATTGGGTGGGCATTTGTTTGTCTTTTTATGTACAAAATTATGAGTCTTTTGTTTGCCTCTCAACTTCTTAGTTCTATGAACTCTGAGTTGACTGTGTGATGTGTGATAAACAGGCCAGAAGATTTTCCTAAATAACATTTACCTTTCTTATTTGTTGTAGCAAATATACAACTCTGCTGACAGATAGTGAACACAGGCTGTTACTCTTCCCGTCTATGTAAGTACAGTTTATTTTCTAAAGTGTTCCTCTGAAAAAAATAACTATCTTAATACTATGTGCGTAATTTTCTTTTTACATTGTTAAACAAAGATTATTAAAATTATCGTAGAAACTGAAAAATAGTTACTACTTATAGTTGTTGTTAGGTACCATCAAGTTGAGTATGACTCATAGTGACCCTATGAACAAAAGATCTAATCCCTGTTCTATCCTGTGCCATCCTCACACTAGCATTAGGTATTGTTGCCTAATCAGTGTTTTTATTTGTCAGATCACAGGCTAAATTTCTAATATTTGTTATGATATTTAAGTACTGAAAAATGCTTTTATATTATATATTAACTATTAGTATTTCCCCATGTTGTTGTAGTCCTCTTATCTGTTTTATATCCTTTCTTCTTTTATATTATGAAGTAACCAGTGTTAACAGTTTGCTGTTTCTTTCTTCAACTTTGCCCATTTCCTTGCATACCTACCTAATACACTATAGAATTTTTAGAGTAGGGTATATAGAATTTTTAGAGGAAGTTACTATTTTATAGAAAAAGGGCCACACTATTTGCTTTATTCTGCCGTTTGAAGTTTTTTTTTTCTGATAAAGGTATCAATATATATGTTTTAATTCTGTTACTATTTTATAAAATATGTATTTATTTACACATTCTTTTGCTATTTGTTTTAAAAATAATCATATCATTCTATTACTTTGATCTTTCAGGAAACCAAATAGAAGAGTAGAAGTGGCCCAGCTGAATGACGTGATGGATACCATGTTAGAGAGGGCTATTCTGGAAAATGAGGAATATAAAGGACCAACCAAGGTAATCACAAAACTTAGTATAACCAAGTTGTTAAGAGTATTCATTGCTGATTACCTTGAGAAAGTAACTTACTTGTGCTTCAGTTTTCTGATCTGTAAGTTGTTATTGTTGTTATTGTTAGATGCCATTGAGTCCACTCTGATAGCAATCAAAACATTGTTGATTTTGTTCCATCCTTATAATCTCTCCCATGCCCAAAGCGTGCTCTCACCTCTAAGGAGCATTCCAGCTGCATTTATTCCAAATTTTTCTATTCTTTTAGCAGTCTAGGGTATTCATTTCTCTAAGATATATTATCTACCTCAATTGGTTGTAGGAAGCTCTGATAGAGATTGAGTTGTTATGGAAATTAAGTAACATAGTGAGTATAAAGTACTTTGAACAGTTCCTGGCTCATGGCAAGTACTGTATAACTAATTATTATTAAAACTATTACTGTATTTAAATAAATATGTCACCATTGATTATAAACTCCTTATTATTTTATATAACACTTAAATAACCACTAGGGAGCTCTGGTGGCTTAGTGTTAAAAAATTGTGTTGCTAACCAAAAAGCACACAATTCAAACCCACCACCTGTTCTTTGGGAGAGAAAGATGGACAGCCTCTTCTCATGCAGTTTTTCAAAGTGCCTTTGAAAACTCAGTAGAGTGACAGCTATGAGTCAGTTCTGATTTGACAGTACATAACAACAGCAGCAAATAAACACTGTCAGTTAATACACTAATGATTAAATCATGCATTATTACCATATATGATTTTTATTTTGGATTTAATAAGAGTCATTTCAGCTTATTAAAATACAGTATATTTTTCTTTATGCATGCTATTTTTTCATTTCTGTTTTGTAAATTTTTATTTGATGAAATCTATAGACAAGTTGTGAGAATAATACAAAGACACCACAACAAGATAAAGGTAAACAATCCAATTGAAAAATAGGCACAGGAT